AGGACTTCATGCCCGCCAACAAAGGTACAGCTTTGCCTCTGCCTCATGATCATCCATTCCTGGCTGTAGCCTTGTCCTACATCCTCAGCCATAGGAAAGTTAGAGGAATTGGGGGGGTCAGTCCTGAGACAAGCTCAATTTCCTGCCCTCCTGCAAGTCAGACCCTCCTGTTACAGCTCCCCCGCCCCCAGGAAATGTCAGGTGGGTCAACTAGTGATGGGCCTAGCCCAGGAAGCCCGACTCCAGGCAGTGAGCTCTCCCACTTGGCACGCATCCATTTCCTTTCTTGGGTCCTCAGTGAGTTCTCTGACAGCAAGAATGTCTCTATGACTCAGTGTAGCTTATTCTGGCCATAGTCTCCTGAGCCCAGCCCTCTGCAGCTCTGAGAGGACAGTCCCCAGTGGTCCCCGTTCTGGGCCATGCTCATCCTCTTAGTTCATCCCTGATGCTTACCCGGTATCAGGCCGTGGATGGAAGTGCTTCCCCAGTGAGTAGTGGGTTTCTTCTTCTGTCCCTATGGCGGTAAGCTGCAGCACTTCGCAGGCTGGCAGGAGTTGGAGGCAAGTGAGAGCTTGAGGACAGCCTTCAGCCCAGTTTTCAAGATCTTTTAGGTGAGCAGAATCCTGGCTTTGGGCTTGAGCATCTCACTCAGCCCAGAACTTTCCTGCACAGCCCCTCCGAGTCAGTGAAGCTCAGGTGTCTTCTGCTCCTGACTCCCAGGAATCTGACATTTCTTCTTTTGGAAGGAATTCCTAGGATCTCCTAGCTCAGCGTCATCTGCAGAGCTGATAATGCTCACCATTTGGTTTCTGTCTATATATATCTAATCTCTTCGTCGTCTTTTAGTCATTGTCATCCACCTCCTCTGCTCATTTTCCTAACCCTGGCTTCCAAGCTGGCCTGGGCACTGACTTCTCTCCTGCTGCTCCTCCCACCCACGTTAGTGCAGCCCCTTACTCCTGCCTCAGTCTCTGTACCAGGGGCTGGTAATGACTCCATACTGCTCTTCTTCAGACAGGTCCTGCCACATGACTTGCATACACTGTCTCTTAGAACCAGATCTGGAGCACTCTAGTGGTACACAGGAGTCCTGGCTGAGCCACACAGAGGAGCTTGGGCTCTGCTGCCAGGCAGCTTCCTAGAGGGGCACCTTCTTAGGGGAGAGTAGGCAGGGTTGCAGAAGGCCTTGTTGGGAAGTATGTTACAGATACTGCCGCGGCCCCACCCAGCCTCAGAACGGTTTCGTTCTTAGCAGAGACACATTTTGGCTTTGGCCCTACTAGTCTCCCCACCCTCCCACCCCCACTTCACCCAAACAGGCTACAGGAACCCATTGCCATCCTGGGGACCGCCCCTATCAGAATTACATCAGCAACGGCTGGTGTAATCAAACCCCATTTGTCAGTGTGAATTCTTAGCAGATTAACTTGTCAGATTCACAGAGAAACTGTCACCAAATGTTTATGTGTAAACGATGTTGAATTTTAAAATCATGTGGATTATGGCGGATGGGGCCTGACAAGATGACAGTCTCTGGTTTCTAACAAAGTGAAGTTACCAGTGTCAAAACAGAGGATGTTTATTGTTAAAAATGTCTCAAAGTATCCACAGAAACCCCTGAAGACCCTTGCCAGCAATGCTGGGCCTTGGTTGGCTGACCTAAAGCCTGGGACTCTCCTGGTCTGAGTCCCAGGGCTGGAATGGTGGGGCTATGGACAGACTTGGGCAGCCAGCTGGGAGCCCCCCACAGCACCGCATGACACCACCGCACCCCACCCTGCACTCACACACCCAAGAGGTCAAGCCCAGACAGTTGAGCAGTCTAAGAGCATCCCCTTTACCCATGACCACCTTCCTCTCCCTCTCTGCTCACCACAGTCCCTCACCTCCCATCACACCCTCCTTCCACTTCATCCCTTCTCTCACTACCATTTGCCTCAAGTGCCTCTCCCTCCCACTTCCCTCCAATTCCTCCCAAGGCTGACGGCCAGTTCTCAGCCTCCCTGCCTGGAGCTAGAAAGCCTGAAACTGCTCAGGTCCAACATGGACGTTTGCAATTCCCCAGCCCAGCCAGCGCCCGCAGTCAGTAAGCCCTGCAGGATGTTCCCTGTGCCTGTCTGCGGCCCTTCATCGGCAAACACCCGGCCTGGGACTGAGGAGTGGACTTGCCAGGGTTGGGGATGTCACTTGTATGCGTACTTGGCCCTAGTGTCAGTTCTCCCCAGTACATTAAAAGGTTAGGGAACTAGGAGGAGAGAGGTGGTAGAAGGCATCCCTCTGAAAGTCCTCTAAAAGAATGAAGGCTGGCTGTCTGTACCAACATAGAAAGATCTTTAAAATATATAAAATGTGAATAAAGTATGGCTAGTATGATTGTAATGTTGTAGGGGGAAAGCTTACATAACAAACATATATACTTGTAAATGTGCACAAAGAAATCTGAAAGCATACAGAGGTCCACCCTGGGGAACAAGGCCAGGGACACATGAAGGGAGAGGACTGGAACGAAGAGCCTAACTTTACCTTTACTTTTTTTGTCTTCTGTGCTGTTAGCGAGTTTCACCATGGATTACTTTTATTTAATAGAGGAAATCACTTGGCTATAGCCTCAAGGCCACCTTGGTATGGCTTTGCCAAGGACCCTTTTGCCCTCCTCCCCTCAGAGCTCCCTTGAGCTAACCCTCTCCTCACATCTAGGAATCCTAGATACATTCTATATTCCATCTTTCATTTTCTACCTCTCAATAACCAAAGCATCGATCTGCTGGCGTTGCCTTGCGGGGAGTGTATGTGTAGTAAGACAAGTATTCCGAGTCCACGACCAGCCATGCAGTTAGGAGTGGGAGGAAGGGGGCTTCTGCTCCCTCCATTCAGAGCACTGGGAGAGGGATGTGTGGAGGCCGGTGGTTTGGGCAGCTCTCAAGACACCAGGCAGCACAGTCCTGTGCAAGAGGCAGGGGTCCAGAGCAGGCCAGCCTCAGCCCAGCATGGCCCTCTCGAAGCCAGCAGAGGAGGGGCATGCTCCGCTGATATCTACCTGAGGGAAAGGATTTGTGGAAGGGCCAAGAAATGCCTGGCCTTCACCTCCCCACCCCAGGGCCATATTTCCCTCCAGAAAGAGAGGAGAGGCAGCCAGTGCCTCTGCCTCCTGCCCTCAGAGAGGTTCTTCTGCTCTCTTGTGCCAACAGAGGAGCCAATCCGGCTACTGCGGGAGGTGGTGCTGCTGACAGATGACCGGAACCTGCGTGTGAAAGCGCTGACGCGTAATGTGCCTGTGCGGGACATCCCGGCCTTCCTCACCTGGGCCCAGGTGGGCTGAGGGGGCCACACTGGGGTCCACCCCCCCCCATGGAACCGTTCCTGAGAGGCCACCAGGTGCCCAGTGTAGCACAGGAGATGCCCACATGCCTGAGCCACCAATCCACCCGACAATAAACCATCCTCTTCCAATCCACACTGTGGCCGTGCTCTGGGGGAGCTGCTCCTCACAGAGCCCCCTCCCAAGGGTTGGGCAGAAGCTGCTGGGACCCTCCTGGGCTGTCAAGATTTAGTAGGGAGGTAGCTGGCTGCAGTGACATCCGTTGGGCGAGCTAGATACGCTGCCCATGCTCTCAGCCTTTCTCCCTCCCCCTGCCTACCTCAGGGCTGGGGAAGGCCTTCCCAGACTGGGGACTCAGCCACTTTCTCAAGTGGAGATGGGGCAAGGAGGTTAGAGTTGCCATCAGATGCAGGCGAAATCACGGGTCCCTTTAATCTCCTTCAGAACCTCTGTCCTGAATGTATCCAAGAGGCTTGGCCATGCCACAAAGAGAGTGCCCAGGGTGTGTCTTTCTCCTCAAGGCCTGGATTCCCAGATGGACCCAAGTTGAGCTCTGGACACCATGTTCCAAACAGCAACCCTAGACCCCCTACTTCTACCCCACCCCACCCCCCACACACACACCCATCCTGCTGCTCTTCCTGCCCTTGTCTATCTAGGCCCATTACACTTTGCCACATGTTTTCCCCGTGGATGGTCATGGGTCTAGAGGGAAAGGACATCTGGTCCCAGGCCCATACTTCCTGGGTGGCCTTTGCCTGCTTCCTCTCTCCTCTTTACCCTTCCTTTTGCTCTAGTTCCCACTGAACAAAATTTCCTCAGTTCTCCCCTTCTCTCTCCTGTTCTCCCTCTCTCTCCCCTGAATCATCCTCACCTTCCCTCAGTCTCATCACAGTTCCTTGACATGGGGGTTCTCATTCTGAATCTCCCTTCTCCAATACCCGTGCCAGGAACCTAATTAAGCTTTCCCGCCCTTGACCTTCTTTCCCAGGCCCCTGTGCTTCGAGAATCTTCCAGGCCTAGCTTTGCCCTAGAAGAGCTCGACACCAGGCCTTTGAGTTTTTTGTTGCCTCTTTAGCTGGCACCTATGTTCAAAGCCTCACTCAGGAGACTTTCTACTGGGTGTGTACTCTCTCAACCCAGGGACAGAAGTGAAGGGAAGACAGGGTTTTGAGGAGGAGCCAGGAATAAGATTTGATGGGACCAGTGGGGGTATCCCCCAGAACCCTGCCTGGCTGTAGGCTTGCCCAGAGGATGGGAGCAGAGCTGTGTCCTCTCGAGGTCCAAGATTATGCCAGGAGGAGGAGGGACTGTACAGGAGGGCTATGGCTAATGGTCTGTGGGTATGAGTCCCCCAAGGCTTCAGAAAACTGGGCTCTTTGGGGTACAGTGTTCCCAACCTCCTTTGAGATCCTCTGCCCTGGATGAAAGCTAATGACTGAGTGGGTGGGAGACCCAGCTCTCCTTTCTGTCCTATTTGCAGCACTGGTTTTGTTTCCTTAATAAATTTTTAGTTATGAAACATACCTGACCTCTTGCTGATCTGTCTCTGGGACTGGGGAGGGAGGAAGGTCCAAGCCTCTGCATCTGTGTAAGGGCCCCTGTGTCTGGCCCCTCCACCCACCCTGGTGCTGGCACCCAGATCCTAGTGCAGGGCAGAAGAGAGCTGCAGGGTCCAGGGTCCTTGGTTACTGCTTTATTGCTGTTTGGTTCGAGTATAGAAAATGGAAGCGGCTCTGGAAGAGCCTGTGTACAAGGTAGAAAATATACAAAAAAGGAGGAGAGAGCTAAAGAGACCACGTTCCAGCCCAGCCCAGCCTGGGCTCGGGGTATGGGGCTGCCCGGGGCGCATGCAATAAATATGGTCCGGGGCCTCGGGGAAGGGAGGAAGGGACACCGCAGGAGTGGGAGACTGGGTAGACCTGGGCTGTCGCAGCCCTCTGACTTCTGAGGGAGGGAAGGGTTGGCCCTGGGGCTAGTGCCGCTTGTGCAAAATGAGGAACTTCACATTATCAGTCCCGGGGTGGGCGGGAGCGGGGGGGCAGGGGGCCCTCCGGCCGGCTCAGTCCCCTCCCAGCTCCCCAACTCTGCCCAACGCTCCGACCCCAGCGGGGAGATTCACAGTGAGAATGGGTGTGGTCGCAAGGGCCGGAGGTAGGGCTGGGAGCGCCCCAACAGTGACACCCCTACCCCCAAGAGCAGCACGGAGCCGGGGGAGGGGGGCCAACGAACCACAGGAAGAGGCGGAGAGGGCCGGGGGTCTCCTTTGGTCAAAGCTGATATCAAAAATATAAATCTCCCTTCCCCCAACCCACCCCCGTCCCGAGGTTTTCCCCTCACCCCCATCCCCGGGCTAAGGCACAAAGCAGTGAGGCCAGGTGAGGCCGCAGAGAGGTGGGGCCGCCACTGTGGTAACGCTGCCGCTGCTACTATACTTGTCCAGGCGCGGTTTGCCTACTCGCTGGTCCCGCCGCTCCCTGCGGGTACCGGCCAGAGGCCACGCCGCGACCACGAGGCGGACAGACATGGGGCGCTTTAGGTGGGGGAGAAACGGTCAATGGTCCTGCCATCGGGCCCCGCAGCCAGGTGCGCTCCCTGGCTCAGCACCTCAGCTGCCTTGTCAGGGCTGAGGCCCAGCTCTGCGGTGAACTTAGCCAGCGGGTAGAGGCTCTCCAGCGCCACCTTGGGGTCGTGCAGGAAGTGCGTGGTCTGTGCCAGCAGCTCAGCCGCCGCCGCCTTGTCCTGCTGCTTCAGGCTCAGCTGTTCAGCCGTGAGGCGGGCCACAGCAAAGACGCCCTCGGGGAAGTCGAGCTTGCCCTTGCCATCAGGGCCGGGGACACCGGGTAGCCCCCCCAGCCCCGCCAGCGCTCCAGCCGCGCCGGCCGCGCCACCTACGGCGTGCATCTTCATGTGGCTGATGAGGTTGCGTTGCTGTGCGAACTTACCGCCGCACACCTGGCACTCGTAGGGCTTCTCTCCCGAGTGGATGCGCATGTGCTCCGTGAGGCGGTACTGGCGCGTGAAGCGCATGCCACACGCGTCGCACGCGAAGGGCTTGAGGCCCAGGTGGCTGCGCATGTGACGAGTCATGGTCCCGCGCTGTGTGAACTTCTTCCCGCAGATGGTGCATGGATAGGGCCGAGTAAGCCAGTGGGTCTTCTCGTGCTGCCGCAGCGTGGCCGGGTCCTTATAGCTCTTGTCGCACGACGCACAGCGGTAGGGCCGCAGCAGTTCGCCCAGTCCGCCGGGAGCTCCAGTGACCTTGTCCCCACTTCCTCCAAACGGGGGCCCGAGGCCGGCGGCTCCCACCGCTACCTCAGCCGCCTCGGCCCTGCCATATAGCGCCTCCTCCTCCTCCACGTGCGCCTCCACATGCGCATTCAGCTGTTCCGAGCTGGGAAAGCCCTTGCCGCATGGGATGCACACGTACAGGTTGTCGCCGAAGCTCTCAGGTTCACCATAAGCCAGGTGGGGACATGGGTAGCCCTCGAGGTGGCCGCCGGGCGGGCTGGGGTCCTCGCTGCTGCCAGTCTCCTCGCTGCTGCTTTTGTAGTCGTCGCCGTCGCCGCCTGTGCCAGGCCCATCCAGGCTGCCCGGGTAGCGCGGCGGCGGCGCCAGGCCGAGCGGAGTTCCCCCGGGAGAAGTGGCCGGGTCCCCGCCGCGCTCTTCGCAGCGCTCGCTGGGAGAACCGCGCTCCCGGCCTAGCTCATCGCCGTAGCTGCCCAGGCCTGGCTCGTGCTTCATCCAGCGGTAGAGGAGGCTGGGCCCGTCAGGGCGGCCGGGGGGCTCGGGTCCCGGACTGCCGCCGCCGCCACGGAACGGATCCGGAGGCGGTATGGCCTCCTCCAGTTTCTGGAAGGGCAGTGGCGGCAACGGCGGCAGGACGAGCGGAGGCTCCTTGTAGGCTGCGGGGCCGGCGCTGGGAGGGCTGTCTGGGCGCGGAGGCAGCTCACGATCGACCGGGGGCCGCTCAGGAGGCGCGGAACCTGGCGGGCTTTTCTTGGACAGGTCCAGGCCGCAAAGCGGAGAGCAGCGGCGCTCCGGGACGCAGAGTGCAGCGGCCGGGCCCGGGCCCGAGGCGTACAACTCAGCGCAGTGCGTGTTCACTGCAGCCTCGGGGCCCGACGGCGGCTCGGCACTGGGCGGCGGCGGAGGCCCGGCTGAGGACGAGTAGCATGCCTGGATGACGGGCGTGGCGGCCCTCAGACCCCGACCTGGCCGCCCGTATGGTGCATAGCCACCGCCACCACCGCCGCCGCCCCGCAGGTGGCAGTACTTGCCGTGGCGTTTGAGGCGCTTCTTGCACAGCGCCACGAGGTCAGGGATCTGCAGGTAGCTGGCGGCGGCCAGCACAGCTCCCAGGCTCGGCTCGGTCCCCGGAGCCACGGCCGCCGCCGCCGCGGCCTCTGCGCCATCAGCCAGGCGGCCTGTGTAGATGAAGTCCAGCACCAGGCGGAACACGGCCGGGCTCACCATGTCATGGTCCAGGTTGAGCAGGTTGTCATGCACCACCAGGGACTTGAGGTAGGCGCTGCTGGCCGCCAGCACATTCTTGTGCGCGCGGAAGAGGGCGTTCTGCACCACGATGATCACGTCGCACAAGAAGCCCTTGGTGCGCTGGTTGTTGAGCTGCAGCAGCAGCTGCCTCGAGTGGCCGGGCGCCTCCATCGTGTCCAGCATTGTCTGCCCAGCACAATCTCCTGCGGGGACACACACCAGTCGGGTCAGAGCCACAGGAGCCCTCACTGCCGGTTCCCAGCCTGGCGCCTCTCCCCTCCACTTTCCCCTCCCCTCAAGGAGGCTGGGGCATCGAGCACCGGCCTGGGCACTGGTGGAGGATGAGTGGCCTCCGAGTGTGGGAGCCTGGGCCGGCGGCCCGGACCAGAAGGACCCAGGAGAGTGGCTGGTGGCGAGGAGGCCAGGCTGGCCTGCACCTCCTTGTGAGGAGGCACCGGACACACAGGTTGGGTTATAGGGGCTTCGAAGGAGAAAACTGTTTGGGCGAAGGTACCCTTTCGGAAACAGTTACCCGATTTGAGGAAAATGTCCGCTTCAGGAAAAGTCATTCAGGGCCGAGAAGTTTGCCCAAGTGGGATCTAAAGGAGCCGAGGGAAAACCGCCTCCCGCCTCGGGAGAAGTTGCCCCAGTTGGGGGAAGTGATCCGGAGGAGGGGAGCGCCGTGGCCGCCGTGGTGCCGCCCTGGCCGGGGGCTGTCAGGCCCTAGTTGGGGCCCGGACGGCGGCCGCGGCGCGGGAAGCGGAGGCAGCCGCTGCCGTGGCGGGCAGAGCACGAAGGCCGGGTCCCGGCGCGGGGAGGGCGTTATATCGGGGCAGGAGGCTGAGGCAGGAAGCAGGTGGGGGGGAGGGGGGAGCCACGCAGCTCCCAGGGGAGGGAGGGGGCAGCGCCCCGGGCGGGCACGGCGCGCAGCCGGCAGCGGCCCTGACCCCGGCCTGCGCCCCACCCGAGTCCCGGCCCGGCCTCGGCTTTAGGTCTGCATTCACGGCCCGGCGCTTCGCTCCCCAGCTCCCCTCGGCCCCTTCTCCACGGGAACTCCGCCGCCCCAAACTTAGGAAAAAGTTTCCCAACTTCAGACAGGCCGGGAAGGGCGCGCCAGCCCCAGTCCCTCGGCTCCCAGCTTTTTCTCTCGCCCCCCATTTCAGCAGCCGGGCAGTGGCGGGGCCCGAGCCGAGCCCTGAGCAGCCCTGCCCGCCTGCTCGCCGGCCCGACACTGTTCCCCGCCTGGTCCGCAGGGCCTCGCGGCCCGTTACCTGCGGCCGCAGCCCGACCGGGCTTCCCTCCCCGCGGCGATGGCAGCTCCTAGCCGGCGCCCCACCCGCCCTGCTGCCAGGCGCCGAGCTGTGCCAGGGCAGCGCCCCTGCCAGCCCCGCCCGCCAGCTCTCCCCTTCCCTTCCCCTCGCCTCTCCAGCCCATGTGCGGGCAGAGCCGGCCCGGGCCGTTGACCCCGCTGTGAACCCGGAGCAGAGTAGCAACCCGGTGGTCTTGAGTCCTCTAGGGGCGACACCCGGAGCTCCGAACGCCAGCCGCATTGGGACGCTCACACTGGAGGATGCACCCGAGGCGGCCAGAGCGTGAGGACGGGGCTGTCTGGGTCCCCTGTCCCTCCCGGTCCCCAACCCGAGGACCCACCTGGGGGGCATGTCGGAAGCCCCGGGCCCGGCTGCCGGCGGATCCAGGGGGGACGTGGCTGCGATGCGCTGCCCTCCGCCCGCCAGGCCCCCGGTCGGTCTGTCCTGCTGGTCCGTCCTCCCCGCGTCCTGGTCGCGTCTCAGCCCCGCCGCGCTTTCCGCACACTCTTATCTGGAGCGGCCCGGGCCGGCAGGCTCTGCTGCAGTTATGGCGCCACCTCGCGGCAGCGCGGGGCTTTGCGCGACACCGCCACGACCTCCCTCCCGCGCACCTGGGCTGGAGGCTCGCAGATGCGCAGCTGGACCCGGGAGGGGGGCCTATTCGCAAGTTCACCCTCCCAGATGTGCCCAAGGCCCGGGTGTGCGAGCCCCACACACCCCGGGGTTTTGAGCTGAACACTTCCGTGTACATATTTCCATATTCTCACATTGCCCCAATTCAGAGAAGTCCTGCTCTCAAGGAGAGGACTCTGCTGACAATAGATGGTGGGAGGGAGGTTACAAAAATCCTAAGGGAGAAGAAGATAGACAAGATCCCGGGGAACTCTCCTAAGACCTGGATGGGATTATTTATATCCACCCCAAGCACACCCATCCTCACTCAGACACATGGGTTAGATTTGTACAGAATAAGCCCATTTGCTCCAAGTATTGACACCTGTGGGCGCGCATGTTGGCACACCTGCCCCCTTCAGGGAGTCCAAGCCCTGGCTCTCTGGGATACTCCGGGGGCTGCCACATAGGGCCCTCTGCGAACCTGGGCAGAGGGTTTACCCAAACAGCTCGCCCTGAACTTGGTCTCTGGAGGGACCCCCGGATATTCGACTGGGAATAACTAGAAAATGCCTCTTGGAGATTCTGCAGACTCCAGCCCTCAGATTCCCCAAGTGAGCCGTTTTGAGGGACTCGATTGGACGACCTCGTCTCCAACCCACCGACCCAAGAGAAACGGGGAAGGAAAGCCATGCAGCCCGGGATCCCCACCACCACCACCACGCAAGGTCCTGCACTCCACATGAAGGCCGGGTTCTTGCAGGTGACTCCCCTTCTGGGAGGGAAGAGGATTCGTTTTGGCACTGGTGCGCAGGCATTCGCAGGGCGACTCCGGAAGTATTCCGGCGCTGCCCAGCCACCACATCGGGCTAGTAGCGACACCGGGTCTCGCGGCAGCCCACGCTCCGCCTCCTCGCAGCACCTCCTGACCCCCGCCCACGCGTGAGGGGTAGGAGTGGGTTTCCAAGAACCCCTGCAGCTTCTCATTGGCTACACCTCCCTCAGCCGCTGCGCCAGAGGCTGGGGCGCAGAGTTACCATAGTAACCGGTGAGGTTCGCCCAGATCGCGTCTCTCCAAGGCCTTGGAGAGCTTAGCAACCACTCGGGGCCGCTGGGCGGGTGGGGGCCTGGTTCTCCAACCCTCGGTGCGGTTCTCAGTCCCCGCCAGAGGTAGTGGCTGAGTCACTCATTGAGGGAACTGGCGGTCCCAGACAGACACCAAGGGCTCGGTCGCCCCCAAGAGGCTCCCTTTCCTCTGCAGGCGACTTCATGGCCTCCGGGCTAGGAAGTGGCTCCTGGTCTCTGCAGGTTCTTCTCACTCGAATCGCGTCCTGAGTCCGCCCTCACCCTGTTTCCACTCCTTGTTCTGGATCAGTCTTAACCCAGTTCCTCTCTTCCGTCTCCCCATCGTGTCCTCACTAGGGAAGTGGTGAGGTTCCAAGAATGAAAATGGTGGGCTCTTGAGCTAACAGCCTCTACCGGCAGTGAGACAAGCTGTGCGCGGAGAGGAAAAAATGAATGGAGTGCTGAAGGGAGGTGGGAAGGTTCCTCAGAAGTGCTCTTAGAGCTGGGCTTTGATAGGTGAATAGGAGTTCTCTCCCCAGGCAGGAAGGCATTCCTGGAGAAGATAACCTCTGGGACAAAGCCTAGAGACAAACAAACAAACAAACAAACAAACAAAAAATCACTGTGGACAGATCCCAAAGAGTGTGGAGGACCTCTCTGACCCCCATTTCTGCTGTAATCTCATCCTCTTGATGGGGCCAGATCCTAGTCCCACAAGGATTTCTCCTCTCTACTTCTCTTGTGCAGTGGAGGGATCTGTGCACTATGAACCTACTCCAGTGTCTGCTGTGCCCTCTGTCCTTCTTTTCCTTTCTTTCTTTTTTGTTTGTTTGTTTTTTGGGTTTGTTGTTGTTGTTGTTTTCTTTAATGATTTTAGACAGAGAGGAAAGGAGAGGGAGAGAGAGCTAGAAACATCAATGACAGAGAACATCGACTGGCTGCCTCCTGCATGCCCCCCTACTGGGACCCACAACCTAGGCATGTGCCCTGACAGGGAATCAAACCAGCGACCTCTTGGTGCATGGGTTGATGCTCAACCACTGAGCCACACTGGCCAGGCTGGTTTTTGTTTTTGTTAATCCTCACGCGAGGATATTTTTCCACTGACCATTGATTTTTTTTGTCTTAGATAGAGTGGAAGGGAGGGAAGAAAATAGAAAGAAACATCTATGTGAGGGAGATACGTTGATTGGTCGCCTTCCATACAACCCTGACCAGGGCGGGGGATTGACCGTGCAACCCAGATATGTGCGCTTAGGTCCTCTGGCCAGTGCTCTGACCACTGAGCAAAACCAAAGCTGTCCTTGTTTTTCTTTAACACTCTTCTCAGATACCCGATTTCCAACTTAACTCACTGCCCCAGCTCCTACACTCAAGCTGTCCTTACATCTGTGTGTGTCTCACAAACTTGCCCCCAGCCTAGCTGCCCTCCTGTGGATTTCACTCCTCAATCTTTCCCTCCCTCCCTAGTTCCACCTGCTCTGGCCTGGCGCTGCCCTTTCCCCACCCCAATGCAGCTCCTCTCTCTGAATATACTCTCCTTCCCCATTTAGAGCCCTCCTTGATAAACGGAGTTAGGCTCATTGCCTTGCCTTGGGTCTCCAACTCCTGGGCCAGGATCATTCATTTCCTTGCTCCTGTCCAGGGATACTCTGCCCCACGTGGCATGTCTCTTTCCTGCCAGTTTTGACCTTTAGGAACTCTAACTCCTCCAGGAAGTGGTGTCTGCTCTGCCACACCCTTGAGAGCCCTCTCTGTCAAACTGCTGAGCCCTTGGTCTCATTATTACCCTCATATGAGCTCTAGGACCCATAAATGGGTCCTAAACTTGGTTTCCTGGTTGCCAGGCTCTGAAACTGACACTGCTGACTAGTCCTCCTCTCCTCCACTTGCTGAGCCTCCTCTTCCTCTCACCCCACTTCTCCTGCCACCTTTTGCCCAACTCCCCCACAGAGGACACCCCACACACACACCCCACTTGCTCATTTCCTGGGAGTCCAAGCCACCCTCCTCAATTTTTCTGCCTTGCCTTGGGTCTCCAGCTCCTGACTGGTACCTGGACGCCCCCAACCACACACACACACACACACACACAATGGTCATTCCTCCCAGGCCTACCCTCCTCCTATAAGAAGACCACTCAGCTTCCCAACTCTTCCCATCCCCCTACACCACAGCTCTAGATGATGCTCTCCCAGGTGCAGCTGCCTCTCCTGCCCCGCCCCACGGGTGACGACACCTCAGGGCCACTGGAGTATAACGACACCGCGGGGCATCTTGAGACATCACAGGGCCCTCGGGTCCAGGAACTGAGGTATGGGAGCGGGGACTACCGGGTAAGGACCTTGGAAGGCTGGGAGGGGTAGGGTTGCTCCCTAGGTGTCCCAGAGTGAATAAACCCGTAAAGGACCCATACCTCTCACACTATCCTCCTGCCGGCCCCCAGCCCGCAGTTCCGGAAAGTTAACCCCTTGTAGACTGGTACAGGGGGCATGGGCTCCCCCCCTTCCTCCTTCCGGGCGCCCTACCCAAAGCCTAAGTTCTCCCCCCCCCCCCCGCCACTATAAATAGCCCCTCTTCCCGTTTCCTAAATTCCCTGCTGACGTCGGCAGCGCGTCAGTGTGTAGGAGCCGCGGCCGCATGAATGAGCCGCCGCACGAGTACTACGCGCGACTATAAAAGCCGCGGCGCCAGCCGGGCTGCAGGAGGCGAGCGGGCGCGACGCGGCCGGACAGGTAAGAGCCACTGACCGACCGACGGGCGACAGACACGAACGGGAGGGCAATGAGGAGAACGGCAGGCGGCAGGTTGGAGGGCCCCTACGGGGTGGGGTTGGGGACAGGGTGGAGGGCGAGGGTTCCCTCGCTTCTGGTGGAGCCCGGGCCGGAGGCGTATACAGAACCCCGTGCAACACCAGCCCGCGCACGGATGGAGACGCAGCCACTTCGGAAGAGCATCGAACAGAGGACGGACCCCAGAGTGCCCGCGGCTTTTCCTAGGGCTCCTGCGCCATCCTCCCAAGAAAGTGGGGCGAAGATGCTGGAGCCTCAGGAGACTCGCCCCCACCCCCGCAGCGCAGTGACTCAGCCTCGCTGCCCTCAGCCGGCTGAGCTGGGCACCGACTGCGGCTCTCTCGAGACCCCCGCCCTGCATTCAGCCAGGGCGCCCCCTCTCCGTCCCGACCCGTCGAGCTGGCCTCCGCGTCCCTCTGGGTCCAGTTGGCCGGCTCACACGCACATCGACAGCCTCTCGCCTCTGCGCGAGGAGCTGTCCTCTCAGGACCAGGCGGGGGCGGGGCCTCGGCAGGACAGCCCCGCTCCACCCCTCACAGACACCCCCCGCCGCCGGAAGTGTCTTTCAGCGGGGACGTCTTTGACGTCACGGGGCTTTGACGTCAAGGGCCGCGTGCCTGTCCGAGGGCCGAGAAAGGCGGGAGATGTGGGGGAGGAAGAGCAGCAGCGCCCCCAGCTGCGGGCGACGGAGGCACGCTGCTCCCCCCCCTCCCCCGGCAGCGCGCCGGCACCTTGGCTGTAGACTGCTTACTGCTTGGGCCGCCCCCAGTAACAGTCTCCAGTCACGGCCACCGACGCCTGGCCCTGCCCCAGAACCGCTGACCAGGCCACCTGCCGTGCCCCTTGGCCCCTCTGTGCCCTGGAGTCCTCAACCCCGTGCTCGCGCCGCCGCTGTCCTCGGTGCTGATCCAGCGCAAGCTCCGCCATCAGGCGGTCCCTTCCCTGGTCCCCCGGGACTGCGAGGGGCGGCCGGCCCACGAGCACATCGCAGCCCTGTAGCAGTCCTGCGCCTGGTCTCCGCCGCACGCGCTGCCCCCTCCCCCGTGGTCCTGACGTCAGCCGGACTGGAGCTGCCGCGCGCCCCGCCCCCGCGTCTCCAGGGCAACCGTGGCTTTCGATTGTTACTGTGGGAACCGGAGGTAACAGTCTACAGCCATGGTCGCCCCGCAGCACGCCCACGCTCCGCGCTGCGCCGCTCCCTGCCAGCCCAGTAAGG